ATGGGTGCTCAGCTTTGCAGCAGGCGGGGACCCCGGAGCAAAAGGGAAGGGGGGGGAGTGCCAACTGGGTGCAGGGGCCCTGGGGAGTTGGGGTGGGAGTAAGGAAAACAGGAGAGCAGTGATGGGGACTGGGGAGGGCTCCGGAGAGAGGGACACAAACACTCCCAGGGTGGCCAGCACTGGGGACCTGGACTCCTGGGTCACATCACATTTTCCGTGCTGGAATGACTGTGCTCTGTCCTCACTGCCACCCTGGGGGCCTGGTACCCTCCCTCCTGGGAGAGGCCACTTTGGGTAGCCAGAGTAAGGGGAAGGAAAGGAGAGAGGGGAGGGGGCATGCTGTGTGTGGCCTTCTCAGGAGAGCCCAGACACACACGTCACAGGGGGCACAGACAAGGTCCTCCTCCCGGTTCTTGGGGGTGAGGGGCAGGCTGGGGAGAACTGGGAATAGGTACTCTAGGGTCCCGTCCCCAGGTGGCCTGGCTGCTGTTGACTTGGCTTGGTTTCCCTGGGAGCAACTCTCAGCAGGGTGGGAGGGGCTGGTGTCAGGGAGTTGGACCCAGGCTTCCAGGCTGGGGTGGGATGGCGCCTGCCAGCCAGCCAGTGTGTCAGGGCTCCTGCCAGGAAGCTCCAAACTTAACCCCTCCTGCCCTGGTGGTGGTGGCTGGTGGAAGGAGGGCAGACCCAGTTGTGGTTTGGGAATGTGGCCCTAACTTCTCCCACCCCCCCTGTACCCTCCTCAGCACATCTGTACTTGGTTTGCAATGAATGAGTCTCCTGTCCTCAGGAACCAGGCAAGGGTACCACTCCCACCCTGGCTGGGCATCTTGACATAGAACCAGGCACCACCCCATGACTCGTCCCTGCTGGGATCGCCTCTCAACACTCCCCTTTTCTTTCTTCAGAGGGGCCTCGGACAGCGCCTAGTGACCAAGAGCTGGGGCTCACAGACTGTGTGGTCCCAAGGTAGCACATGGGACCAGAGACACCAAAACGGGACAGAAACCCCTGGGGGAGCCTCAAGAGGGAGAGGACTCTGTCTGCCTCTGCCCTCTTTGTCTCGGTTTGTCTGTCTAGTCTGCCTGTCTTTGTCCTTGGCTGGTGTTTGTCCATCCATCTGCTCCTTCTGGCTGGCTGGCTGGCTGCCTCCTCTGTCCTCAGTGGTCAACCAAGGCAGCCAGGGAGGTGGTGGGAGGAGATGCCCAGGAAGACCCACCCTATGCAAGCCCCTCCCCTGGGGCTTCTCAGTTCCACCTCTGCTGTACCCCCTCCCCCCAACTACTCCTCCCCAGGACTCAACAACTGGGGCCTGTGCCCTGCAGCAGGCTGGGAAACAGCAGAGGCAAATTGGGGAGGAGGAGGAAGAAGGCATCAGCTTCATCCCCATCCTCCTCATCTTGAAGGGCTGGAATTCTTTCTCTCCCCACCCTCCCTACGCTCCCCATGGTGCAGTGGAGCCAGTGTCCTGCCTGGATTCCAGGACCAGGACCAAGCTTAGGCTCAGGCTCAGGCTCGCTAGGAGAGAGGGGCCTCCTTCTCTGGAAACTGGTGGCGTGGTGGGGGCTCCCTTCATTTCTCTTGAAGGGCTGGGATTCTTTCTCTCCCCACCCTCCCTACGCTCCCCATGGTGCAGTGGAGCCAGTGTCCTGCCTGGATTCCAGGATCAGGACTAAGCTTAGGCTCAGGTTCAGGCTCGCTAGGAGAGAGGGGCCTCCTTCTCTGGAAACCGGTGGCGTGGTGGGGGCTCCCTTCATTTCTCTTTCCTTTGGCCCGTCTTCACTTCTAGGCTTTGCTCTCTTTGTGGCTGCTCCACTCAGTCACCCCCGTAACCTGGAGGTCACCACAGTAACCTGGAGAGATGACATGGGGGGGCCTCTAGATCCACCAGGTTGCCCCTGCTCCCCCCCTCACAGAGCAAAGGCCCCCAAGAAGAGGCGATGAGGGGAGGAAAGGACTCCTGGCACACCTGCCCAGCCGCCCTGCCTGTGCTGTCACACAGCCCTAACATTCACCTCTGCCCCTGCCCCCATGCTGGGGGCAGCACAGACAGGCAAGCCATGTTTGCAGGCCCAGCTCAGTGCTGTGAGGGATGCCCTGTTCCAAGCTCAGAGGTGGCTGGCAGATGTCTGCAGGGGTGGGGGGGAGGCTGTGTTACAACCCCCAAGGACATCATTAAGACACGGAAGTGCTGTCGGGGCTTAGAGACCAGGGCACCCAGGGAGCATGTGATGAAAACATGTTTTGTACAACATGGGTCCTCTTTCCCTTCCTCCCCTCTTCTCCCACCTCTTCCCCCTCCCAAAGAAGGCTCCTGTGTGCCAAGGCTGGTGCCAACCCTCCCCCCACTACCCCCTCTACTGCTCAACTCCACCCCTCAGACCAGCCTGCTCTGCTGCCTGCCAGACTCTTGCCTTCCTGGTGAATGAGTTTGTGTGTGGAAGGTTCTCACCAACTCTGATGCTGCCCAGATCCGACTACAAAACAGACCTCAATTTTGAAACTCACGGCTAACTAAGCAACAACCAGGAGTAGCTAGAAATGCCTCCCCCCGAATGAACAGGTGCCATGCATTAATTCACCAGATCCTTCTGGAACATCTACTGGGTGCCAGGCACTGTGCTAGGCCCTGGGAATACCCAGGGGTAGTCCTTGCCCCGGCAGGTTTACAGCCTCATGGAAGAGTCCAATGTTGATCAGTTAACACGCAACACTGCAGCAGGGCTGGCTCCAGTGGGGAGGCAGGTGGTGCCCTGAGAGTGAGCAGTAGGGATTCTTCCCTAGTCAGGAGATTCTGGAGAGAACTCCTGCTGGGGAAAAGTGAGGAGCCAAGTGAAGAACAGGGTGGACCAGAAGTGTGTGCAAAGACTGCAGAGCTGGAGTCCTGACTCTCAGCCTCTAGAAAAACATGGCAGGGGGATGGGGGTGGTGCTCTAGTCCAGCTGAATTTTGCTGTGTCACAAAGGAGAGATGATCATCAAAGGAGAACTATGGGATACCTGGTAACCCTGCCCTGGAATGATTCCACCTATTTCTCCATCTCTTCCTCCAGAAAGGGAAAGGGAGGTACTCCGCATGGCACAACTGCCAGGTTTGGAGGGGGCGCATTCCTGCATTTGCTCCCCCAGAGCCTCGCCAGACAGAAAAGCCTTCTCCTCAGAGCCGGCTCTGCCATGGGCACGTACACACACTCGCTCACACGCCTCTCCTGATCCAGCCCTGACCTGTTCCACTCCCTGGAGGGAGCATGTCTGCCTCCAAGCTTGCCTGGAGCCTGTAGGAGGTGTGTGTGGGTGTGTGTGTAGGTGCAGCTGTCTGCACAGCTGCCAGCCAGGGGCTTAGGGTCCCTCTTCTCTGGCTACTGGGGAACTTCCAGTACCTCTTGCCCAGACACCAAGGTTCCTTTTAAGGCTTGAGAAAGTGGAGGGGCCTAACGTGGGACCCCCTCAGAGGAAGGAGCAGGCCTCTCAGTGATTGCGCCTTGTGCAGAACCGGCAAAGAGGTCACAGGACCAAGGAGGGGACGTTCCAGCCTTGCCTTGGCCCTCTTTCATTCCTGTGCCTATACCCCCTGTGGACAGGGCATCTGGTTGAGGCCAGCCTGGCACCCCCACCCCCACACCTGGGACTTCCCCTCAGTGGAAACTCCCCGAACTTGGGCATCCTGCCTCCCTTGCTGATTCCCGCCACTGCTGGGGTTCTGTTCAGCTTCAGTTGGCCAGACTACATCTTCAATGGGACCCAAGGATGGGAGCCCAGGGTTTGATGGATGGCTGCCTCTTCTGGTGGACTCCTCTGGAGAATAGTTAAGGGGCTGATGTGGGGGTGTTGGAAAGTTACCCTTTGTTGTCTACCTACTAGGTACCAGGCATTGTGCTAGGGATGTGTATTATCTCACTGAATCCACCACGTAGCTGTTCAGAGAGGTGGTAATTATCTTCCTTGTTTTCTAAAGAAGGAAATTCACAACTAGAGAAGTTAAGCAACTCACCCAGTATTGCACAGCTGGGTAGCGGCATTGCCGAGATGGGAACCCATGTCCTCGAGGTCCCCTGCTCAGTGTACTGTCATGACTACTGCCCACCTCTCCGTGAGATCAGCTATTTTGGGATTTCATGCCACGACATTCAGCAAGAATTCACTGAGTACTGATAGGTGCCAGAAACATAAAGAAAGTCATTGTCCCTGAGGACTGATGGGCAAGGCCAGTGTCTGGACTAGGGAGTGTCAAACTAAGATACAGGTCTGAACACAGTGCCGTGGGACACTGCGTAGACATTCCTTAAAAAACAAAAAAGCACCACTTTTTACTGACATATAGTTCACATACCGTACAATTCAATGGTTTCAATATATTTTTAAAAGTCGTGCGACCATCACCACCATCAACTATAGAAACATTTTTTTTCCATAGATACTCTTTAGGTCTGGTATATATAAATATATTATGAACAGTGTGAAGACCAAACTGGAATTAGCTGCCATCTAGGTCAAGAAATAATATTTCCTATTATGTGTTTTTCTTCATGTGAAAGCAAGGCTGGGGAAATCTATAGCGACAGTAACTGGATTAATAGCTCCTTAGGGTTATAGCAGAAGAGGTTGGGGGGAAACAGGGAGCTAGTTATAAAAAGTACAAGACAGAAGACAATGTTCTAAAATTGATCGTAGTGGCGACTGCACAATTATTTTTAACATGCTTAAATTATGGAACTACGGTATCTGAACGATATGTCAATATAGCTGTTAAGAAACAAAAACGTTTCCTGCATTCCAGAAGTCTCCCTCATGTAACCCTTCCAGTTCATAATTCCCTCCCTTCCTTAAAAGGTAGCATCCTACCTCCTGACTCTGTGATAATGCTTCTCTTGTTTTTAAAACAGTTTTAGAGCTATGCAAAGTTAGAGTTCTAAAACATGTATCCCTCAATAATGTTACTTAATATTGCCTCCTCTGTAGGACTATAGAAATGAAATGATACTGCAGTACTCACTTGTGCCTTACCTTTGTGCTCTGTGTCTTGTTGGGGAGATCCAGACAAACTGTTGCAAATAGCTGGCTTTTGTTCATTTTCACTGTTGCGTTCTAGTCAATTGCATGAGCATACCGGTCTTGTTTTTTTCATTCTACTGTTGATGGATGTTTTAAATGTTTTCAGTTTGGGCCTTTAAAAAACAAAACAATACTGTAATGAATGCTCTTGCACGTTTCCGAGTACACACAGACAAGAGTTTTATGATGTATAGGCTCAACGGGAACTGGAAAAGACACCAAACTTACTGCCAAGGAGTCGATGCCACCCTGTACGCTGCAGCACAGCGTAGAACTGCCCCTGTGCGTTCCCGAGACAGTGGGTGGCACTAGGGGCTGAGAGGCTCCTTTTTCTCCCTTGATTGGAACAGATGGTGCCAAGCTGTCTTCCAAAGTGGCTGGGAGCGGAAGATTTGAACCAGGGGCAGGGCTAGGACCAAGAAGACCCCCAGCTTTCTCCGCCATGGTCTTACCCTGCCCTTCTGCTCATTGCACTTGCCCCCTGCCCCCCCTGCAAGGTTCTCTCACTAGTTATTTACACAGCTCCCTCCCTCACGTCCCTCAGAGGATGGCTAAGTCACTTCTCAGTGACACCTTCCCTAACCCTCCCACGTTGGACCGCAGCCTCTGCCAGGACACTCCTTTCTCCCAGCTCCTCCACTTTATTCCCCCCACCCACACCCCAGCCTCCTGGACTCCATCTAGCCCCAGGCTCAGGGGCCAGTGCTTCATGGATCCTCTCCCTCCCAAAGTGCTGAAGGGCAGTACTGTAAGCTCAGCCTGTTTGGCTGCTCCTGATGACTGATCCATCTCCCTCTGACTCACTTTTTATCGTCCCATCCTGCTTCCCCGTAGTCACGCTCACGCTCTGAAATAAGCGAGCTGATTCCCTTGTTTACCTGTTTGCCATTCTTTTGTCTCCACTCTGCCTCTCAGGAAACTCTGTCCACCACCAAGGCCAGTGCCAGATGTATTGAAAGGAAAATGCATCCATTCTAACTGAAGCGGCCCTATGGGACAGAGTAGAACTGCCCCTGTGGGTTTCCCAGAGGGTCACTATTTAAAGGAGCTGAAAGCCTACAGAGCAGATGGTTTCCAATGACCAGCCTTGACGTTGGTAACCCACAACGCCACCTGGGCTCCTTGGATGCATATTATTATTATTATTAAAATGATCTCTTTCTCTCTCTCTCCTCTCTCTGCAGTGACCCTATAGAACAGGGTAGAACTGCCCCCCTGTGGGTTTCCAAGACTGCAATTCTCTACGGTCCTAGAAAGCCTCATCCTTCTTCCTCAGAGCAGGTGGTGGTTTTGAACTGCTGATCTTGTGGTTAGCAGTCCCAGGAGTCACCGCTGCATCCTCAGGGCATAATAAATCCTCAAATAATCACTGCCCAGGCTGGCCATCTCCTAGGAATCGCCAGGCCCTCCCACCCCTACTTGGAAATTCCCAGAATCTAGGCATCCCACCTCCCCTTGTCAACTCCCAGCCAGCCACATCACCGTCTTAGTCTTCCAGGGGGCTGCTGCCGCTACGGAGCTGTTTCTTCCCAAGTCCCAGCCCTGGGCTGCTGGGGCCTGCAGAGGCAGTGCTGGCCATCAAGGTCAGAGTGATGGGGAAGGAGCCTCACCTCAGCAGGGGGCAGGTGCCTGGGCTCAAGAGATACTTTTTGATTGAGTGAAGGGAAAGGCTTCCCAGGGGTAGGGCCTTGTCAGGTGGGGAAGAAAAACTGGGCACTAACCACAGAAGGATCCGAGCGAACAGAGAGCCCAAGGGTGGGAGGCACACGTTCTGGTCTGATGTCCTTAGAGGGTTTGGGGTGTAGCAGAGGCTGGGGGTGGGGGTGGGGGAGGCAACCACTGCCAGGTAGGTCTGAAAGGGAGGGCTGAGCTCCCCAAAGGCTCAGCAAGGCTCAGCGTGTCTTAGGTTTAATCCTGCTCACCCCCACCACAGTCTGTCTCCTTGGCTTTCCTCCTTCCCCCAGACTCCAGCCCTGCCACTCCTGCAGCTGCATGGACTTCTCCCTGGGACTCCGTGTGGGGCCTCGGAACAAGAAGGTTGCCCGCCACCAGCCTCCGATGCCCTCTGGGCATGGCCCACCTGCTGTCTCTCCTAGCCTTGCCTGCCCCTCCTCAGTCTGTGCCTGCCCCTGCCCTGCCTGCCCCCTTCCCACCTGCTCCTGCTCTGCCTGCCCTTCTTCTGTGGCTCCCTGCCCCTCCTGTCCCAGCTTGCCTGGCCCACCCTGTGTCTGTTCGTACCCTCCCTGTCCTGCCTGTCCACCCTTGGTTGTCCCCCATACCTCCTGCAGCCTCTGTGCTGGTGCACCAGTGACCTGCTGCCACCTCCCGCCTCGCCCGGTTTACCCTTGCTCCAAAGGCCGAGCTGCCTACCCCATCTCCTGCTGGGGCTGCCTCGACAGCTGCAATCGTGGCCCAGGGGCTGCTTGGGGGCCTCCAGGTGCCACTGAAGGACGCAGCAGCTGCTGCTGTTGCTGCTGCAGTTGCAGCAAGGGGCAACACACCTCTCCAGGGCGCTGCCAGATAGCATAGGTGGGCTGCTGTCTCCCCTAAAAACGACCAGCCTCCTAGAGTCTTCTTGCAGCTGCTTCTGCAGGCTCAAGAGCCTTTGCCCCTGCCCTTCGCCCCAGATGGGGGTGGGCACGGCATAGGGGAGGCAGGCGAGATGGGTCTTTGGGCAGCATCAAAGCAGGTAGAGGTAGCTGACAGTGAGCAGCCCCTCTGCCCTTCCCCTCTGTCCTTGGTGGGTGAGGAGGAGTCTCTGAAGTTGGTTTCTGGGGGAGCTGCCGGGGGCTCCGGAACTTTCTCCTCTGCAGCTTCTGGACTAGAAACGGTTCTTCTCAGAGGCTTTCTCTCGGCCTAGAAGGTAAGCAAGACGCCCATTTCTTCTCCTCTGGTCAGCCTCCGTTGGAGACTGCTTAGCAGTTCACATGGGTAAGCTGGTCTCCTCCTCTAGAGGCGACAGGGGGTCCTCTGGGCAGGGGCCACCTCTTGTCCTTGGACCCCTCTGCCTGTCCCCCTAATTAAACCCCGAGTCTCTGGACCCTGACCTCTCACCTAGAGTCAAAGAAGGCCAGCTGAGCAGAGGGTTCTTGACTCCTCCCTCTCCTCCCATCCCATCAGCCTACACACAAGCCTTAGCTTCCCCGAACCTGGCGCTCTCTGTCTAGACATCTTTCAAATCCGGGAGCTGGCCTAGCGTCTGTGACCTCAATCTGGCGGCAATAATCCCGTCCGTCCGTCCGTCCGTCTGTGGCATCCATGCTTACCCAGTTTGGGAGGTGAGAGAAGCAGGAATCCTTGGACTCGAGTTCCCGATGGATGATTTCTCCCACACTCACCCAGACAGAAACCCTGACCCTGGGGCAGGGAGAGGTAGTTGGAAGTGAGCGCCCCAGATACCTTCCCAGGATCGGGTTTTAGGTTGAGAGTCCTTCCGTGTGTCTCAGGTTCTCTGGCTCCTGTGCTGCTCGGTTTCTCTCTTCTCTTTCTCGCCTTCTTTCTCCAGAACCTTCTGTTCTTCCCTGTCCATCTCTAGTTCTTTCCTATGTCATTGTCTCCATTCCTCTCCTCCTTTACTATCCCTGGGACATCCCGGCTTCCCCTAGCTTGCAAACCAAACCAAACCAAACTAAACCCAGGGAGACCCTAGAGGACAGAGAGAGCATCGCGACTCTGGATCTTTACAATGTAGAACAGGAAGACGCACAATCTGTGTCACAGCAGACAGCCTCATCTTTCTCCCTTGGAGCAGGTGGTGGGTTTGAACCACTAACATGGTGGTTAGCTGCCCGACATTGAACCTACTTTGCCACTCGGGCTCATTTCCACCTAGCTGTGTCGCTACATGTGTTCTGCCCATGCTCTATACCTCTGCTTCTCCTTTTAGCTTTCCCTATAATCTAAAGCCAATGTAATATAGCACGCCTGGCACTCGCTCTCTCCCTTGTCTCAATCCCTGTCTTCCTGTCGGCCTTTCCTCCCACCCGTATGCCTGTGCTCTTCTGGCCTTGTTTGTGTGGGGGTGCATTTTTGTTTTTTAAATCATGTGGGGGTGCATTTTGTCCACTGTTCTATTTGTTTCCTCTTCTGTCTTTGTCTCGCTGTCTCGCTTATCTCTCATGTCTAGTGTTTTGCTTTTCTACTTCCCATCTCTCTTTCTGCCTCTCCATATCTGGTTTTAAATCTCTTATCTATCTTTCCATCTCTCCCTCCTTGAATCCTACAGCTAGCTAGAGATGCACATGACATTTATTTTTAATCATTTCAGGCAAGGAAAAAAAAGGGGGGGGGCAGAAAGAAATAGTAGGAGCAAAAGCACCAAAATCATAGCACACCTGTCCTGTCCATCTCACCACCGCTGCCCAATGGCCAAGACATTGAGAGGTCCAGTGTCTCTGCCTCGCGTACACCTCAGGCACTGGAGGGACAGGGCTGGACATGGCTAACAGAAGATAGCGCCTCCTTCCCCACTCACTCCCTAGGTCAGCGGTTCTCAACCTGTGGGTCGAGACCCTTTGGGGGTCGCCTGACTCTTTCATAGGGGTTGCCTGATTCATAACAGTAGCAAATTACAGTTAAGAAGTAGCAACAAAAACAGTTTTATGGTTGGGGGTCACCACCACATGAGGAACTATAGGAAAGGGTCGTAGCATTAGGAAGGTTGAGAACCTCTGCCCTAGGTGATCCATCCCTACTCAGCTCTTCTAAGCCTTCTTAAAAAAGAACAAAACCCTAAACCACATTTCTAACATGATGCTTCTCCCAACTTTCAATTCTGAAAATTGATAAAGAAAAAAAGACTCAAAATGAAGCATTTATGCTGCCTGTCCTATCTGCATAAACTGGATTTTAGGGTAACAAAATATCTCTAATTGATCGAGAAGACTTCTTATTTACTGAAGAATTCTAGCTAATGGAATGTAGCATGAGAAAGAGCCCCGTTTTGCAAATCCTAAGGAAATAATGGATTGAAGTGAGAATCATCAATGGGTAAAGCCAAAGATGATGGCTGGGGGAGGTCTTCACAGGGGTGGGATCAAGCTGTCACCACCTGACCCCATTGGCGAGTCTTGGCACCATTGACCGGGCACACCTCGGCTGCCTGATGGTGTGCGATATGGAGCACTCTACCGAGGAAGGATTCTTGACAAACAAAAAACGGAAATGAACCGAATCAAGTCTTTAGAGCTAAGTTCCACGAGACAGGAAATACAGAGAATGGAGGAACAGACTAAATGACACAGCAGGGAAGCAAGCGGACACATTCATCCTCAAGGGAAACCCACCCAGTTTCTTCAGCTGGGCAATAGCTGGGGGGGAAAGTTGCAAGAGAGAGAGCGAGAGAGCGAGGAGAGACAGAGACAGAGAGAGAGCAACATTACTAACTGAACCAAGTAGCTCTTATTTGGTTCCTGACATAGACAACCCAACTGTAAAAAGGCATTCTGAGACAGCGAGGGACATTTTATTATGGACTGAGTATTTATGATGCCAAGGAATGAGTTGGATTTTGTTGGATATTCAAAAAATGCCTCTAGGGAAATGTAAGACTAGGTCCTTATTGTCTAGAGATGCACATGACATTTATTTTTAATCATTTCAGGCAAGGAAAAAAAAGGGGGGGGGCAGAAAAAAAGTAATAGTAGGAGCAAAAGTACCAAAATCATAATAATGGTTGAATCTGTGTGCTGAGTATGAGATTCCTGAAACCATGCTGTCTCTGTAGTGTATGTGTGAACGAATGTAAGAGTTGTAGTCATGCTCCTCTGGCAAGCATGCTTCCCAGGGCCCCGGGAGCATCCTTTCCACCTGCCCTGTAAGCTAGCACTTCAGTGTGGCTCCCTCCAACCTTCCCCACCCTTCCCTAGACACATGTTCCGGGGACAGATCCTCTGAAGTCCTCCAGTGGCAACTTTCCCATGGCTAGGACCTTTCCTGACAGTGCTTCACAGCTCACAGGGCCAGAGGAAACCTAAGGAGTAAGCATGTTTAGAATAAGTCCTACAATCAACTCAATAATCCAAAATAATATAATTTTGATTTTGGTTTATTCTTAGCAAAATGCAATTTCCTCGTGGGGGACAAAAATACCCTGCTCTTCTTCCTGGGAAACAGGAGGCCAGGAATGCAAGGTCAGCTCATCCCATCTCCTGCCTCCATGTCGAATGACATCCACCCCACCCCACACAAAAAAAGACCACCAAGAGCTGAGAGCATTGGTGTCATCAGCTCAAGTGGCTGAAGCCCAGGCCTGGGAGGGAGGGCATTTGGGTCCCAAAGGGCTTTACTTACTGAGCGGCCTTGGGAAAGTCATTATTTTTGAGTCTTAACATTTCTAGACAAAAGCATGGGAATTACTACTTCCTCCTCAGCCTCCAGAAGTTTGTCAGCTAGGGCTGAAGGCACTTTGAAACTTGCAGGCTATAAATCTCAGCTGTTTACTTTATCACTAAAAAGCATTTATCAAGATGTTCAACCCAGGCATGCCCACCGTCGTCCCCCAGGACCTAGGACTCTTGTTGTTTTAAGACAACTCCAAATCAGGGTGACCCCAAGTGCCACAGAATGTAATTTTTCCATGGACATTTCTTGGCTGTAATCTTAGTGGAAGCAGACAGACCATCAGGGTTTTCCCTCCTCAGTCCTGTTGGGGGAGTTCAACCAAAACTCATTGCCATCCAGTCAATGCTGACTCATGGCCACCCCTTGGGGCCACCCCTTGAGTCTGTAACTGTTTACGGAAGTAGGAAACCCAGTCTTGCTTCCGAGGGAGCTGCTGGTAGTTTCGAACTGCGCACCATGCAGATCACAGCCCAATCTGCAACCACTACACCACCAAGACTCCTCTAGTATACATTGTTTTGGGCTTTTTTTTTTACATCCCAGGGAGGGGTCTTAATAGTTAGGGAAGGCCAAAGCCTTAATATATAGAAAACTGGCAGTTACCTGCATAGGTAGGTAAACTCATTTAATATTTTCAGAAGCCATCTGAACCCAGATCTAGAGATCTGGATTCCAATTCTGATTCTCCTTGGCATGTGGACATCTTACTTATTAACCTTTCCAACCCTGGGGGATAGTAATAGCATCTTATTTACCTTATTAGTTGTTCAGACAGTTAAATGAGGCAATTTATCTATTGCAGTTGGCCTAGGGCTTCTTCACACAGAATTTAGGTACATTAACTGTTCGATAAATGTTAACAGTTAACGTAAACCAGACACGTCAAAAAGTAATGTATATGGATTAATTGACTCACTAAGTTTCTCACCAAGTGTTAAAGTTGATTACGTATCAAACTGACCACTGTTTTTAAGTGCTGGGGATAGATACTACAAATTAACCAAACAGCTAAAAGTCTAGCGAGAGGGGCTGTCTACCGATAAACAAACACATAAGAGATCGAGTGTGCCAGATGGTGTTCAGTCCTATGCAGAAACACAACATGAAAGGGAATGAGAGCACTGTGAAGAAAGAGGGTGGGTTACTGGGCTGGAGGTGGTGGTGGCGTTGTTATTTCAAACAGGATGGCCAAGGAAGGCCTCACTGATAAGGTGACATTTGAGTAGAGAATTGCACGAGGTGAGGGACGTAACCATGTCGATATACCGGAGAAGAACCTTCCAGGGGAAAAGGAATGGGCAGCAGCCCTGGCGGCAGCCAGCAGAGATTGAGGGGGAATGGGGTGGGGTGACGTTGGAGCACCGGCACAGCACAGACCAGAGGAAGTAGGCTGTACCTGTGAACCACCTATGCCTCGTTGCCTCTGAACGTCAGCCTGTATTGGGGCAGGGCTGTCCTGGGACTTCAGACGGAGACACAGGGGCGCTGAGAAGTTAGTTGGCTGGTCCAAGGCCACAGGGGTAGGGGTTGAGTGGGTCTGCCGGGAGAGTCCAAGTTCGTAACACCACACTGCCTCCCTCAGGTGCCTCGGCCGCACTGACTGGTCGCCTGGAGGTCACTGCGGGAGAGAGGAGAAAAGCGAGGTGCCCGCGTGTTCCGTGGGATGCTGCGACCCCAGGCTCGGCGGGAGCACGGGCATCTTCCCCGCACACGGCTGCGGAAGCCACGGCACCGGGGAGCAAAGACAACGGGTCTTCGCTTCAAGGTGGTCCGCAGGGATCCCAGGGCCCGAGAAGCGGGTGTCGCCGAAAGACAGCGGGCAGTGGGCGAGATCCCACCCGGCGGGCGGCACACGCCC